TTCCAGAACTATTTGACGAAGCTCTGCGCTTGACGACTAAAAGGACTGTTGATCCAGAATCCCTGAGAACACGAATGGCTGCCCCATAATCGGCGCCTTCCAATGATATTCCATTCGCAGATATTATGCGGTCATTTACTCTAGAAAATAATCATTTTCGCCGGTTAGTATTACAACAGTTATTTTTAACTTCTATTTCTATGAATACGTCAATCACCAATTATTATAAATCACAATTTTAAATAACTATCAATATACTAAATATATTAAATATTAAGATAAAAATTATCTCCATAAATGTTCGTACTGCAATTTCCCCTCGGCTGGTCCAGCTTTCAAGACATCAGAAATCGCAATAGCAGGGTCACCGTTAGTGAAATGGGGATTATCCCGACCACCGGAAACAGCAATCCCGAATCCGTAGCCCGGAACTCTGGTAACAGTAACATGATGAACCTCCCATCCTCTGTCCCCGTTCTGAAAGATTTTCATGAAAAGATACAAGATTGCAAGAATTCAACGAATTTCAATTTAAAACTATACTATATATATTATCGTGCTTGCATATTTTAATTTGATATCATTTCGAAAGTAACAGGGAAGTGTTTGAAACGCGTTTCTCTGTTTTTCCCTATAAAAATTTCAATAGATCCCAGTTCCTCATGAGCAGATAGTAAGAATTCGAGAAAAACAAGTGGAGCAGGTAATTGGATGGAAATTCTAGGGGTTCGCGTTAACAAGATTCTTCCTCTACTTAACGCATATTCAACTCGAACCAAATCTAAAATCATGTTTTATTTCCAATTTATAACGTGACTTATAAATGTCCGAGTAATGCCCCAAATGAATGAATATATATCGAGTTGATGTGATTTTCAAATGTAGCCTGTTAAAACTTCTCGAAAGAGATCCGACGGTATTCTTCGTTTCTTCTTCATTTCTTTTCTCGGCGGAAACGTTTTTAGCAACAATTTATTATAATAACAGAAAGTGTTTTCAAAATTTTTTTTATTTATCTTTACGAATACGTTTAAAATACTCTTGTTGGTTCGCACCTGTGCATCGGTTCCAACGGAAGTATTGTGAAGAATACCATGGGTTGTCGAAGATGAATTCGGGGTGTTTGCCGAATTTCCGACACCCACATTGTTCTCGTTTCTATCCATTGTTTTGGGAAACCTCGTCCTGAAAATTTTCGTCTTCGTCCCTCTTAATACCTCTGGACAGTCATCTTGATCTCTTCTTTTGTATATTTTCTCTAGGCTACAGTTGCATCCTTTATTTATCTACGAAAGATATTTCACATTCCC